AACAGGTTTTAAATGCTTGCAATCATTAGCCCACCTCCCGAACCCTACGCAAACTTAATTTGGTGTTGTTCTGAGTCGTCCTTAATTTTTGGTGATTTTTTGAATTTTCTCTCATTGGAATGCATTGGACGGAAAGTTCAATACATTCCAATGAGAGAAAATTCAAAAAATCACTAAAAATTAAGGATGACTCAGAACAACATCAAATTAAGTTTGCATAGGGTTCAGGAGGTGGGCTAACAATTGCAAGGATTTAAAACCTGTTCCAAACACTGTAAGGCACTTTTACAGGAGCGAAAAAGGACTTCACAAAGCCATTGAAATGTATTGAGTCGGCTTCAATACATTCCAATGGAGGAAACATTGTTTCACTCAACGATGTTTCCTATGGGTTTTTTCACTTAAAGACGGCAATCTGTTTCAATTGGAACGGATTAACCGGTTTTCAATTCATTCCTATGGGAAATGGTGTTTCACAGAACGATGTTTCACACAACGTTGATTTTTTTGGAACCAATTAACATCGTTGTGTGAGGCACCACTGTAATGTCATTTTTAACATATATCTGGTGTGAAGAAACTGTATAATTTGTCAGTAATACAGTTATGAATTAAGAATCTTGTGAGATTTAATGATATTGGGTTATCAAATATATGTGCTTTAATTTTCTCCTTATATTGTTTCTATATTGTTGTGGAGAATTTAATTATTTTAAATCTTCATTTAAAAATACAAATACTTACTACATCAAATACTATAGTCTTCAGCTCTTCAGCTGCTGTTACAATGTCTTTCTCAATGAAATTCACATTATGTGGCCATTTCACAGTATGCCCTATTTTCCATGCGTTACGCCAGGTCTGGTAATTCTTCATGGCCAATTTATGATGGTCTTTTCTGACTTCATAACTTCTAACATGACCTTGTGGCCCAACTGAAAACAAAATAAAATAGATCTAATATTAATTACAGTTCTTTTTCTATGAAGAATGGAATAAATGACATACAAAGAGGAACGGTAAGTTGTCTCTGTTTTCCCAGTATTATAAGGATTTAGGGAAGAAGGACTGTCAACTGATTAAATTATGTTTCAGGCTGCAGCCATAAACACATGTTATTTGCATGTTAACAAATTCAAAAAATTACATTTTAATAAACCTCAGGTTCACTCATTCTTTTTATTAGACTAGTAAAGTCCATTAATTAGCAATTGTTTTTAGTTCTCATGTATGGCTTATGTTTGTGGTCCCTGAACTTTAATATGTAATTCACAGTTGAACAAAGTGTCTAAACTGATTCAAACATTCCCATATTGTATGAATTACACAGCAAACATATTTTAGGACTGTAACTCCTAAAATGTTCCAGCTAGGGTCTCCCAGACAGCATCGCCAGGGATGTGCTAACTAGAAATCAGAGTCTAACAACTTTAAAGAAAAAGTTGTATAATTAATTAATAGCTGGACCATCTATAGCTCTATAAAATACTCTGCAGGGCCCAGCCCAATTTCATGCAGCCTTTTACAAGTGATCACTAAAAACTACTACCAATAACAACCTGTCCTCTCCCTGGAAGACTTTTGGGTGAAAGGGGAAAGAGAAAGCAGACAGAGGATTAATGGGATAGCAGAACAGAGGCAATCAGCTCTGCCAACTGCTGGCTTCAGTCATGGCTGACATGTTGCTTCTGTGAACAAATGCAACCTTTAAATGATTGTATTCTTGAAGGCTTTCACAGCTGGGATCCGATGGTTGCTTGGTTTTTCCGGGCTGTTTGGCCGTGTTCTTAAGGTTTTTCTTCCTAACGTTTCAGCAGTCTCTGTCGCCAGTGTCTTCAGAGGACAGGAGTCAGAACGCTGTGCTCTGGTGCAGCTTGTTGGATAATTGAGTATTTATAGTTGTGGGACCAGCTTTTGTCTTTTTCAGGAGATTGGGTGACTGTGGTGATCAGTGTGTTTTTTGTTGTGGGTGTATTGATGTGATAAGAGGGAGAGATGATCTGTCACTGTGATTGATGGGTGTCTTTAGCTGGTCTTTTGTGTGCAGTGATCACTGGTCCTTGTAGCTGGGTAGACTTCATTGACCTTTTGCAGGCTGTATTTTTCAGTGCTGGGAGGCAGGCTTTGTTGAGTTTTAGACTTTCTTCTTTTTTGTTGAAGCTCTGCTGGTGTTTGTGGATTTCAATAGCTTCCCTGTGAAGTCTAACATAATGATTGCTGGTGTTGTCCTGGAAGGTATAGGTAAAGGTTCCCCTTGACATTTAGTTCAGTCGTGTCCGACTCTAGGGCGCGGTGCTCATCCCTGTCTCCAAGCTGTAGAGCCAGCGTTTGTCCATAGACAGTTTCCGTGGCCACGTGGCCAGCGCAACAGTACCTATATATCTACTTGCATTTACATGCTTTTGAACTGCTAGGTTGGCAGGAGCTGGGATAAGCGACGGCAGCTCACTCCGTCGTGTGGATTCGATCTTACAACTGCTGGTCTTCTGACCTTGCAGCACAGAGGCTTCTGCAGTTTGACCCGCTGCACCACCACGTCCCTGTTGTCCAGTACTTCTGTCTTTTGAAATAGAATTTCACGTCCAGCTTGTTTTAGGGCATGTTCAGCTATTGCCGATTTTTTGGTTGTTTTAGTCTGCAGTGTCTCTCATGTTCTTTGATTCTGGTGTGGATGCTGCGTTTTGTGGTTCCAATATATACCTGGCCACAACTGCAAGGTATCTGGTATACCCCTGCAGTGGTGAGGGAGTCCCTCTTGTCCTTTGCTCATCGTAACATTTGCGTTTTTGTGATGGCCTGAATACTGTTTGTAGGTTGTGGTTTTTTAAAAAAGTTTCCTCTTGCAGTCCGTGACCCCTTTGATGTATGGCAGAAATACTTTATTTGTGAGTGGTTGTTTTTCCTCTTCAGTTTGGTGTTGTTTTCTTGGTTTGATGGCTCTTGTGATTTCATTCTTGGAATAGCAATTTGCATGTAAGGCCCAATTCAGATGGTTAACTGATTATTCATGACGGAATGGGGCTTGTGACAAAAAGTTATCCATCTCTGATATAAATAGTACTATTAGTACTATTTTATTTTATTTAAAAAAATAAAATGACAACTGTTCTCAAAACAACTGAAATAAACAAATTACCAGGACTTGATAGGATACCGACAGAGCTACTTCACATGACAGAGACTGTCAATCCATATTCAGAATATATCATAGGAGAAGCTTTTTAATGTTCCATTCCTGAGCCAGGTGTTGGAACAGGTAATGGCTTCCAGGGGTTCCTGAATAAGACCAATCATCTAGATTCATTTCAATCTTGCTTTAGGCCTGGTTATAGGAGGACACTGCTTTGATTGCCTTGGTGGATGACCTATGCTGGGAAATCGACAAAGGGAATGTGTCCTTGTTTGTTCTTCTGGACCACTCAGCAGCTTTTGATACCACTGACCAGATATTCTTTTAGGACAGATGTTTGAGGTACTGTTTTATGGTTGTTCCAGTTCTTCCTGGAGGGGAGAACTCAGAAGGTGGTGTTGGGGGAACTCTCTATTTTAGACTTCCAGAAATTCTGCATCTGAACCCAAAATTCGTCTTTATAGTGAAGACCATGTTTGTTATGCTTCTTGGTATTTGAACACCCTCAGCTTTTACTGTTTCTGAAAGAATTTCTTTGTTGCGTAGTACACCTGTGAAGGAGACAACCATTTCATCCCACTTGGTTTTACAATAGAATATCGATACCACTATTTTTTTTCTTTGCATTTTCGTCCTTCATGAAGACTAGTTACAATACAAGTAGCTTTTACGTTTTATAATTCCCCTCACTTGTCTTGATCTTTTGAAGGGCACCCAGTTTCACTATTTCACTTAGAGGCAAGTATTACTCATGACATGTATATCCTATTGCAATAATATGTGGAAACTCTTTCATTATCTCTCATGCTGCTTTCATATTACCTGACCCTTAGTCAGAAAAAAATACTTTACTACTCCTAAACTTCTGTTGGTCTTCATCTATTTTACAACTGCTATACTTTGCAATATGTTTGTTCTCGCTGGTTTCAATGCTTCTGTAACAAACTAGTTGTAGTGTTGTTATCCTACACTTTATGAATCCTTCTCCCTCACGTTTGTGAAGCCATCTAGAAGTTCTGCCAGGCCCAGTGCTTTGTAGAATCTTCTTTCTGCAGATGTTGTTCTTATATGCCTCCAAGTTGGGACTGACTTACAGCAACCCTAAAGGTGCCTTCAAGTTGATGTATTTAAAGAGTCATTTATTGGTTCCATACCCTAGTGAGCTTTCATGACTGCGTGGGGATTCGAAGTCAGGCCTTCAGAGTCCCAGTCCATTAGTCTATTTACTAGACCACATGGGGTATCCTGCAGATCACATTACACATACGTATTCTGATTCTAAAAGAGACTTGTTCAAACAAAGTCTGATGGATTAATAGTATGATGGTCTTCACAATTCAAAAGATTCCTGCTAGGATGCTTTATCAGATAGAGACAGTGGAGTTCTAGATGAATATATTGCTCTTGCAAAACCCAGCTCAATGTTTTCTTGATTATCAGTGTCATCTTGTCTACAAATGAAGCAGCTGACTCTGAATATTTTTGGATGCAGTTGTTTTCGATGTTTGCTTACCAGAAGATAGCGTTGCTGATGGGAAACTCTTCATGATGATGCTATTGACGGAGAAGCAGCCAAAAAGGGACTTCTGCAAGCACAACATGGGGAAAAGCTATCTGAACTATTGTTGTTACATCAATGAAGGATTTTTAACATCTTTGTGATTTTTCTTATATTGGAGGATATGTTTTGTCATCCTGGCATTTTACATTTGGTAGAATTTGCAAATCACTTTTTTTTCATCAGAAGAACCTGCAGTATTGAAATGCTTCCATACTCTAGATGTGTTTTGCTGAAGGGAGGGAAAGAAAAAAAATAATATAGTGGCTACTCTGCATTTAAATACTAAATTATGGAACAGGGTTGCAACAAAACATCTGATTAGTAAGGAATTAAAATATGATTTGCATAAGAGTTATGAAAGTAAATTAATGTTATTAAAATATGGTTCAATTTTCTTAATTCATATAAAGCTATGCTTCTACTTTGCAAGTACGTTTGCTTTTGACTTTTTGCTATCCTGTACTTCCTTTAACACCTTTGAGACCTAGTCAAGAGGGAAAAAACAGATCTACCCACAACACCAACATGAGGAAGCCGACAATCTAAGAAAAAACTGAACCTTTTTAGTTCTCTTGTGACAATGGCAGTGCCCCCTAAAGGTCAAAATGCATTTGAAAGTTGTATTTTACAACAGAGGTCCCCAACCCCAGATCCGGGGCCCAGTACCAGACCGTGGCCTTGGCAGGACCGGGCCGCAGAGACAGATCTCCCCCCCTGCACACAAATACCCCCCAGCACATACATGCACAGATGTACACACACCCCATACCCAGAGATGCACCTGACACACACATATGCGCATGCATGCCCCCCACGGACAGACACGCCTCCCCCCCACATGCATGCACAGATGCTCCCCCGCGCACACACTAAATAGGTCTGTGGTGCCAAAAATGTTGGAGACCACTGTTTTACAACAGTATTTACTGCTGCTCACATACCATACAACCTGATAGTCTAAAACAGTCCTACATAAACATCTACTAAATAATTTCTAGAGAACATTTTGCAGGAGTCAATATATGAAGATATTGTTTAGAATGCCTTATTCATAAATTGTGTGTGTGTGTGTGTGTGTGTGTGTGTCCTAATCTATTTTTCCCCAGTTTATAAAAAGAGCAAAAACGAAATGGTTCTACAAGGGAAAGAAGTTTCCCTTTGGGTTTTTATTCTGAGCTATCCAGTGTGGCCAGGGCTTTGGACCTTTGGTCTGAGATTGATCTAAAATTTGCATAATCTGTCCCAGATGTTCCTAAAATTAGAATTTAGAAAAGAAACTTCTTCAAACTCTACCCAATATCCATAAAACTGCTAAGACTTCATCAGCCTATTGCATAGAATTCCACAGTATTGATATCAATAAAAGTTTTTCTAAACATTTTTACCTGCTCTTGATAGAAACAAAGTCATGGCACCAGACCCAGAACCAGCTTCTAGCACTATGTCTCCTTGACTGATGTCCATTAGTAGCAGCATTGCAGAAATATCCTGGAATTGCAAAAAGCAGCAGAGATTCTAAACATTTATAAACTCCAATCTGAACAAGTATATAACCCGAATATTTTTATATATCTTATTTCATTGCAAATTCTTTCACTTCATTTATATCCTGCCTTTCTCCTGATAAATGAGCTCAGGGTGGCTTACATAATATTTGAAAGACTAATACAGATTTTAAAAATACAGTAAATGCCATATTAAAGAGCAATTAAACTTATTATCATATTAAAGGCTGTGGATTAAATAAACATTTGCAGCAATTTAAAAGCACATAAAAAATGTGAAAATTGCATCATTAAAACCCTTTACTGGGCGGGCAGGCAGCTGCCAAACGCTCATCTGAACAAAAAAGGGTTTTGTTGACAGTCAGACAACAGAGAGGGGACCAAGCCGGCTTCACTTGGGAGACAGTTCTACAGCCTGGGAGCAGCCACCAGAAAAGCCCTCGCATGACTTCATTGGACATGCCTGTGAGGATGGGCAATCTGAGAGAAATACTTTCCTCAACAATTCAGATTCTGATCAGGCTCAGATAGAATGACCTGGTCTTCCAGATCAGGCCTGGCCAGACATTTTCCAAACAGATGAATCTGACACACTAGTTCTAGCTACACAAATTCACTCCTGGCCACTAAAACTATCCATGTTCAGGGCTGACTATATCATTCTAAGGAGTGGTGAATCCATGTTTTGGGATAGGTATAACCCTACAAACCAGATTGAATCCCTATTCTCTGATCTACCTTTCAACTGATTGAATTGAGTTTCAATAATACTGAAAGCCATCAACAGGTCTGGCAGAACTAGCAGAAAACACAGCGCCTTGTCTGGTCCACAGTACAGACCGTCTACCAAGGTGGTCAACATTTTCCTTATTCAATAGCCAGGCCTGAAGCCAAAAAGAATTTGACCTAGCCAATCCATCTCATCCAAGAACCCTTGGCACCGAATACAAACAGAACTATGTAGGCCACTAATACCTCATTCAAGACGGGAATACTGAAGGGCGGCTAACAGTTACTCATTATGATATTAAAGAAAGGCTTTTTCAGCACTGCTCTGACTACTATCCCCTTCAGCTATGCTAGAACCCAGCTTTCCTGCAATGAGGTATTCATTCCCTGCTTCCCCTTTGGCTGTTTTTAAAAGATAGGAAGGGTGTAGATCCAACCTACATAATGCACGTGTGATCTCCAAGGATTCTGTCCCCATCCTTAGGCTGTACAAACTGAAAAGCAGCCATTGTCACTTGACGGGTTACATCTGCTTGGCCCATGTGAACTAAGTCATCCAAATCAAAATGGATCTGAGCAGTCTGGTCTGCAACACACTGCACAGTGTTCACAGGGGGCTTTTGAGTAGCTTTCAATTTCCCCTCAAGGGCAAGTGAACAAGAGGCCCTAAACCAGGTAAGAAATCTCTGCTGGATGACTGCAGACATAATGATGCCTATGGAGTGGGACTTCTTATAGCCTCTAGCACAAGTCTGGTTGGATTTGCTCCAGTGTCACTCCAATTACAAACCCACTTCTTTCATCACCACCAACTCTCTAAAAAATCGGGCTAGTTTGGCTCCACGTCCTTGGGAGTGCTGTGTCCACTGCTCTTGACAGATGACAATAAGAATCATAAGGAAACCATCCAGATCCATCCTCCCCCTGGATGACATGGACAAACATTGTCCATATCCACCTCAGCAGAACCTGTGAATCCCAGTGATGAGCTGGCGCTTGGCACTCATCCTCCGTGCAACTCAACAGTTGAAGTGGAGGCAACTCTTTTATACACTTCTGCAGGCAAATTAATAGTATTAATGTATTTTTAAGGCTTTCATGGCTGGGATCCGATGGTTGTTGTATGTTTTTTGGGCTGTTTCACCATGTTTGCGTGCCTACTCTGAAGCAAGTCCCAATGAATTTAATGGGACTTACTCCCAGCTAAGTATATACAGGCTGAAATCCAGCAGTAAGTCACAACTACAGTAGACCAAGAGAATCAATGGGAAGTTGGTGGGCCAACTCTGTTAAGTTCCATTGATTCAATAGGACTACTCTTATTAATGGACTTCAGCCAAAGAATTCTGTTTCATTTTAAGGACATGTCCTGGCGATTACTAAAGAATATCACGTGCATGTCACTTTCTTCCATCAAAGGGGTGTTGACATGAACAAAGAAGTACTGTTTCATTTATCTGTGCATTGACAGTTGTGTGTGATCTAAAAGCATAACAATATATAACAACACTAAAAACAAAACAAAACAAAGTGCCAAGTAGGAAGGTCTCCTGCCAAAAGACTATCTTGTGTCCTCACCAAATATGCCTCTGAGGCTGGTAGTCCAAAATGAGGGTTGCCTCTGAGGATTTTGTAACCCAGGCTATTACAGATGGGGAGATATAATATGGTCTTTCAGACAGCCCTAGGCCCATGTGGTAGAGCGTTTTACAATTTACTGCCACTAGGGAATAGTCCACACCATGCTTGGGTTTCTCCTCAATTGCTGGATTAGTGAGCTGTCCCCAAACCAAGCAGATTATGCCATATTATTGCCACTGGAACAGAGGTGGGAAAGCTGTAGCTCTCCAGATGTTGACTCAGAATCTCATCAACCTTAGCCAGCATGGCCAATGGTCAGGGAAAATGGGAGTTCTACATTCAGAGGATCACAAATTCCCCCCTCCCTGTCACTGCTTCTGTGCCAGAGGTGACCAAAGCAAGGGGTACATGTGGCTCTTTCAACTCCTGCAGTCTCCTGCTGCCCACACTTACTGCTGCTGCCAAGGCGCCCAAGGTGCTGAAAAAAATTCGGCACCTATACCTTTGGGTAGGTGATGGCAGGTCCTCGCTTCATGAGCAGCACAAATTCTTCTAAGGATGGCCTCCTGATTAATATGAGGGCACCTGTGGATGTCTGGAGCATCTCCCCAGGGAATTTGCCTTTAATGTCTGCAAAGTTAATCACCCCCCAGGGACTTTGCAAAGTTCCAGAATTGGTAAGCTTACACAGTTTTTTAAACTTTATGTTGTGTTTCCGCCAGATCTCTGCCAGAATTAGATCCCCAACTTGGAAGGGAAAGTTTTTGGAAGAAGGCCCGGCTGGCACTTCTTCAGATCCCGAGACTTGACCCAGCTGGGCTTCTGTCTGGGAGAGGAACCGGGGAGAAGCAGGAAAGGATCCGTCTCCTGTTCTGTAGGCTTCCTTTTCGTCCTCGTCCTCCTCCTGGGATTCCTGTGCCTCGGCGTTCCTTAGGGCTCGGACCTCTGGAGAATGGAACTCCTCGGGGACCATCTGGCTCAGTCTTTCCAAAGGAGACAGCGATCTTTCCCACGACCGTTTCCTCCCCATCAGCCTGCCCAACTCCAGAGGACGAGGAGCAACATCATCAGCCTTCTCCTTTGGATTATCTCGTCCATCTTCGTCTCCTGCAGAGCCGGAAAACCGCCGGTGCTGGAATTCGTGGGGACCCCCGGCCGCAGGCAGGGCAGGGTCTGATCTTCCCGGGCACGGCCGGCCTTGCTGGTCGTCGTGGTGGCGATGCCAGCGATGGTTTCCTGCCACTGCAGCGCCGAGGCTGATCTTGCTTCTCCCGCTGCCTGGCACGAGTGGCGTCTCCTTCGCCGCCCTCCGGATCGCCGCCCAACCTTGCCTCCACCCTTGCAAACCCGCCCATCTCCGCCAGCCCTGCAACATGGCTGGTCGGCAAGCGGGCGCCCCCCCCCCTCGAAATGCCGTGCGAGGACCGGCCTGGAAGCTCGCTCTGATCACAGCCCTTCTTCTTCTTCTTCGGCGGCGGCGGCGGCGACTACTGAGTCTGCACGGTCGGAATCTTGCTACCTGGCCGGCTGGCTCCGCCCCGCCTGGCACGAGGGGACGCGCCGGAGTTTGCGTCGCTGCTTCGTCTCGAGCGCGACCTTTAAGAGGAACAACTGCCCGCGCGGCTCTCGCTTCCGGTTCCAAATTAGTCTTCTCCACCTGAGGGTGGGAACGGGTAGGCAATCACAGAAAAACTAACTAGAAGACAATAGGAGGGTTTTATCTTTCGCTGCTGACAATGCTCTAATTAAATTTTTAGAAAGGGATTTTGTTCCTTGTGCCACGATTGACCACTTGGGCCTGGGCTTTGCTCTCTTTGGGCAACAGGCAGCCATTCGACAATTTTCTAGGAACTGAAAGATGTATCTCCGGAATTGCCGCCTGTCCGCCTTTGTGGGTCTGCTCTCTCTCCCATTGTGTAAACTCTGTGAATCCTCCTTTCCTGCCCGCCGCCCCGTTGAAGAGAACAGGGTGGCAGAGAGAGGCACTTGTACACCAGTCACACTTATTATTATTATTAATTTGATTTATATCCAAGAGAGGCACTTGTACACCAGTCACACTTCTGAATCCTCAGAATCTTCTCAGTGTTATAAATTGCAACAGGCTTATTCCAGGAGCGAGGTCCATCAATTCTTGCTCGTTATTTTGAGCTCAGAATCTTCTCAGTGTTCTAAATTGCAACAGGCTTATTCCAGGAGCGGGGTCCATCAATTCTTGCTCGTTATTTTGAGCATTAAAAACAGATACTGTGCCAGACAAATAAATTATTTTCTGCCATTTTCTGTACTTCTTTGTGATTAACTTGAAGTACTGCAATGAAAGGGACCTTCTAAAAAGCAACTGTTTTTTGTATACTGGAAGGCTTTCACGGCCGGGATCTGATAGCTGTTGGCTGTTTTTTCTTTATTTTAAGCTGAACGCAGTAGTTGTTGGTTGTTTTTTCTTTATTTTAAGCTGAACGCAGCTTTATTTTTAAACCGAACAGTTTTCTTTTTCGTATTGAGAGTTCTCCGTTTCTATGCGTCTTGCCCCGCAAATGGAGGATTCCCTTTGCTGCAATTGGGCACCGGTCGTTTTATTGCAGAACTATTAATACTACTGTATGGCCTTCGCAAAAAAAGTAGATGACGTCGTTGTTTTTTCTTTATTTTAAGCTGAACGCAGCTTTATTTTTAAACCGAACAGTTTTCTTTTTCGTATTGAGAGTTCTCCGTTTCTATGCGTCTTGCCCCGCAAATGGAGGATTCCCTTTGCTGCAATTGGGCACCGGTCGTTTTATTGCAGAACTATTAATACTACTGTATGGCCTTCGCAAAAAAAGTAGATGACGTCTATGATCTGCGACCGCCTGGTCCACATGGAAGTCCACATGGGCGGTATGCAGATTTGAACATCGTTCCTCGTTGATTTTTCCGCTGTCGCTTAATCTGACTTTCTGTATTTGCTTGCTGGAAACATGGAGATGTAAGGCCAGAAAAATGGATTTTCAAGTATATACTTTTTCTTCCAGGATGGATTTAAACTTTTTATCCTGGAGAAAATAATACATATGCAAAATATATTTTTACCTTGAGCAAGAATAGTACTATTGGAAGGTGTGTTGTCTTCACTGGTACTGGAGGCTCAGCTGGCCTCATCTTTACTGTCCTTCCACAAAGAGGCGAAGACCTTTCTTTTCAGGCAGGTTTTCTCCCAGTGACTGGCTGCCTGAGTGGTGTACCTTACTGCCTTGATGCTGCTTATGTTTTTTTAGTATGGTATTTGTTGTTTTCTCCTAGTGACTGGCTGCCTGAGTGGGTTTGATTTTTTTTAATGGATTGCTGTACCTTATGTTGCTTATGTTTTTTTAGTATGGTATTTGTTTGATTCTTTTTAATATTTCTATACTCACTGTTACTAGTTTAAATATTGTGTTTTTTTTTTAACGATGTAAGTTGCCTTGGGTCCTTTTAAGGAGAAAGGCAGGCTAAAAGTATAGTGACTGGCTGCCTGAGTGGGTTTGATTTTTTTTAATGGATTGCTGTACCTTATGTTGCTTATGTTTTTTTAGTATGGTATTTGTTTGATTCTTTTTAATATTTCTATACTCACTGTTACTAGTTTAAATATTGTGTTTTTTTTTTAACGATGTAAGTTGCCTTGGGTCCTTTTAAGGAGAAAGGCAGGCTAAAAGTATTTTAAATAAAAAAATGCACATCTCCTTTCAGTTGTGTGACAGTAGTCGTTGCTTGCATTTTCCAGAGTTAGGGGTGCTGGACTCTCATGTAGTTCAGAATCCATGTATAACGCTTATGCCCCCAAATCATAACTACAAAGCATAAATAGTTGGTTAACACATAGGTTCTCTCTTTCAGGGTTCTCTTCCACAGCATTGACAGTCCCTTCCAGACAGTACTATATGTAATGAGCTTTAAAGATCTTTGTGCCAACCAGCCATACAACTTTAAACTTGTTTTTGTTTCTGTGCATATCAACAATTAAATGTCCTTTCAGCTTTAACCCACTTCCTTCATTATGAACAACACTATCTGTACTTTTTCTTAACAATTGCCTGATAGTTAACTGAGTGTGCTCCAACCGTGTGCTCCAACCCAGGAGTCTTATCTCGTTTTATTTTGGATTGTCTTGTCATGCAGTTTTCAAGATATAAAACATTCAGAAGTGGTCTACCAATATGTCTTTCTGCACAGTACTAACAGGAGGTAGCTTGAGTTTAACTGACAATGTCTATGAAAGATCCTCCTGCCCATGTCACCTTCCACTACTGCTGCTGCCCAGTCACTGTCCTTCAAAGATTTCTGTGCCCCCATTTTCATTGGAACTATCAATTCTATTCTGCTGATGTGACCATTAATTCCTAAAGAAGGCAGGTGTACCTTGGTTTAGTTTCAGATTTAACCATTCTCCCTTGGGTGATGTTTGAGTAAACTGGATAAATAAATTGAATGAATGAATGAATGAATGAATGAATGAATGATGTTGCCAGAAATCTAGACTTGTAATTGTATGTGTCCTTTTGATGGAATTCTCTCAGCTTCCCTGACACATTCAGACCTCCCCACCATATTACTGTGCATGCCCAGAAGGATTGCAACTGTGTACACATTTTCTTGGGAGTCAATCCCATTAGAATCAGCAGGATCTACTTTCAACTCAGGTGCTGTCAGTAGCTGTGAAGCCTCCCAGCACTGGCCAGCTGGCAACAAAAGCCCTACTCTGGTTTTCAAAACTGCAGATTGGTGCCAAATTTAAATCACAGTAGAGCATATGTTGTGTGTAGTGACAGTAGTCGTTGCTTGCATTTTTCTGAGCATATAATTATGACCTATGTTGTGGCATTCTGCCTGAAGTCATGATTGAGGGCTGTGTGACCTTCAGGATATTGTCAGATTCTTATTCCTATTCCCATTGTCATTTCCAGTAGGCTTTGCTGGCTATAGCTGCTAACCGTTGCAATCCCACATCTGCAGAGCCAGCTGTTGCTCAGTCCTGCCTTTATTTATTTGACATTTATACCATCCATCTGGCTACCAAGGCCACTGTGCTTGAACTGAGTCCACTACTGGAAATATCATATGGGGTGCTAAGTCCTGGCTGGTTCTGACTCAAGTTAGACCTAGGAAAACAAGCATGTTTGGTGTCATTTAGTCTTAGCGGCTTGCTTTAGCTAAGTACTTTGTGAAAAAGGAAAATCTCATGGTGTTACTTTGAAATAGACAGTTTGACCTTTCCAGTGCTCAGTTAGCATGAATTAGTGCCTTTAGATGCCCATTTTAGGAAATACTGCCTAGTTTTATCACTGTTGTCAGCAGTTACACTCTACTCACAATCACACTTTCTTTTTCTAGGGCCCTTGTCACCCTTTCCAAAAGTGTGTGTGGGAGACAAACAGGAGTGCCTTATTGTGTCAACTATCTCTGCAATACTTTACATATATTAAAATAAACAAAGAATGCCTGTGAAATGAAATACGTAACAGGTAAAATGTTTAAAAGAAGTTCTGATGCAAAAAACAAAACAAAAAACCTTTCCTGGCCATGGCAACCCCTGTTTTCTGATTTGGTTACTACAGGAAGATCTACCACTTTGCACAACATTGTATTAGTTTCAAAATGTTTATTTTCCCTTATTCAGGCTTTAAATGGAATTGCATCTTAAGCACAAAGAAGAGGCCGTTTTCTCTAAATAATAACCACCTTTTGTTCCCTCAAAACCTTCTTTATGGACAGTGATACCAAATGCTTGATCAGGCTATCATGTACATATCACTTAAGGTTTATGGTGATCCTGTGAATTAATGGCTTCCAAAAGGTCCTTTCATTAACAGTCCTGCTCTGGTCTTGCATTACTTCTTGTCCATGGACTCAGATTTTGAGTTAATCCACCTTATGTCAGATACCCAGTGTGGTGTACTAAACTGAAGGACAGACTAGGACTCACAATGTATGTGTTAGAGTCTCTGCTCAGCCACAGACATTCACTGTGGTGTGTGGAACTAGTATAAAACCACTTCCTAAAATACAGTTTCTGCAGGAGACTGGTTCCACCATGGTTACAGGAACCCTATATAAAATATATGAGGCAGGGCAAAGACTACAAAGGAGCATCCTTATATGTTGTATATGGGGCAGTGGTAAACAACCAGAAAGTGAAACCACAGAACCCCGGGGTCCTGCTGTATCTCATTTATCTTTAAAGCCCTAATAGGGTCATTGTAGGTAAAATTAAAGGTTCCCCTTGACATTTAGTTGAGTCATGTCTGACTCTAGGGTTTGATGCTCATCCCCCTCTCCAAGTCATAGAGCCAGCGTTTTTCTGTAGACAGTTTCCATGGTCACGTGGCCAGTGCGACTAGACACAGAATGCCATTACCTTCCCACTGAGGTGGTACCTATTTATCTACTCACATTTACATGCTTTTGAACGGCTAGGTTGGCAGGAGCTGGGACAAGCGACAGTAGCTCACTTCGTCGCTTGGATTCGATCTTGCGACTGCTGGTCTTCTGACCTTGCAGCACAGAGGCTTCGGTGGTTTAATCCACAGCACCAGGTCCTGATTTGGGATCACTGTAAGATGGATCCAGCTTAATGATACATAACAAACCTCAGGTCTTTTGGCCCTAATTTTGCCCCATATTACTTTTGCTTCTCATCTATTAACAATTTCCAGTTTCACTGGTCATCAAGCTAGCCATTTTCTTTTGACTACTGTACAGAATAAGTCTCTGTACTCCTCCCTAATGACATTTTTGTTTTCAATATGCAGTTGTTCTGGTTTACATTCAGTTAATTTTAATAATGAAACCAGCTATTTATATTATCAAGAATGCTACTTAAATTATATTTTGGCATTAGGATTGTTCTAATGTTTTTATTCACCTTAGTCTAATTTTTCACATCAGCTGTTTATAGTCTGCTCCCCACTCTGTTCCTGGTCTTGTTATTGCAAACAGAATGGAATGTCTTCATCTTGTGTTTCCCACTATACGGCTACAGTGGACCCTTGACTTACAGACAGCTCGACTTACAGACTTTTTGAGTTACAAACTTCTCTGGCTGCAAAATTTAGGTTCGACTTCCAGCCGGAGAATCGACCTACAGACCAGGAAAAAAACAAAATGGAACAAATATGGAACAAAAACGGTTGGTTACGGGATTAATAGGTTTTCAATGCATTGTAGGTCAATGGAGCCTCAACCTAGACTTTTTGACCTGCAGCTACCGTTCCAATACGGATTAATTCCGTAAGTAGAGGGTCCACTGTACTTATTACCTGTGTGGTTGCCCACGTATATTATTGCCTGTTTGGCTGCTTTGAACACATACTGTAAGTACAATAAATATAGGAGTGACTGAATGCCATATAATAAAAATGCCTGCAATAAGTGTTACTTAGAAATAAGTCTTATGGATTCCATATTGTTTCCGCCCCTGGGCTAAAAAAAGTTACTCAAGAATAAGTGCAACAGAACCTCAGTTGCAGAGTCTGGAAATCTCTTGAGACTACAACTCCCAGAAGCGTCCCCCCCCCAAAAAAAAACATGATGGGGACTGCTAGAATCTGTACTCCGAAATAAGCAACTTTTCCAAGGTCAGCTTCGCGTTGTTATAGCCATGCAAAGCGCCTGGGAGAAGTACCCCAAAACAGCAACAGCACCACTTTCTGTAACGGCCATGCCGGCTGGTGGATTCTGGGAGCTGTCATTCAAACGGAAATGATCCCCACCTCTGCGCAGGCCTCCTCTGAGTAAATACAACGGCGCCTTTCGCTCGATGCGTGACAGGCCTCGCTGTCAGGCGCACTCATACGACGTCACCGCCTCGCCTCGTGGAGGATGGGCGGAAGCGAGCGCGCCTGCGCGGAGCCCGAACACGTGGCCGCCGAGGGGGGGACCGCTCGCTGGCCTGCTGGGAACGGAGAGGGGGGACGGGCCCGGACGGAGCGCCATGGCGGCGGCAGGAGCGAGCGCGTCGGCCAGCGAAGCGAGCGGCGCGGAGCCCGAACACGTGGCCGCCGAGGGGGGGACCGCTCGCTGGCCTGCTGGGAACGGAGAGGGGGGACGGGCCCGGACGGAGCGCCATGGCGGCGGCAGGAGCGAGCGCGTCGGCCAGCGACACAACGTGCGGCTGCGGCGAGCGGGCGACGGCCGCCGAGAGCCCGCTCTTCGTGACAGGGACTCCGTGCGCCTTTTCCCCTCACGAGCGGCGCTTCCTGGCCCTCTCCGGGCCGGACGGGCGGCTCCGAGTGTGGGAGACGGCCAGCAGCCGCCTGCACCACGAGTACGTGCCCTCTGCCCACCTCAGCGCCGCCTGTACCTGCTTGGCCTGGGCGCCGCCAGGAGCCGGTGGAGGAGGAGGAGGCGGAGGAGGCGACCGCTCCCCTCCCACCAAGGTATTCATGGGGGTGGGGGCCGGGCCGCGTCCTGTCGCCCCGGGGAATGGCCGGGGAGAGGAACCTCTGGGCCTCGGTCCTGATGCCGCGAGGGGAGGGGGGAAAGGGCGAAAGGCCTTCCCTGAAAGGCGGCCTGTCACCCAGAAAGGCCCGGAGGAGGACCGCCGGAGAAACCCCGCACTTGCCTTCCTCAACTCTCACGTGTGAATGGGCCTCCGTCTGAAAGGGAGGCCCGCTTGTCAGCTGGCCCGTGTCTTTGGGGCTCCCAGGAGGGAGAGATGGAGAGGCGGCTTTCTCCCGGTTCCCCGTCGCCTCCCCTGCTCTCCACAGCCGGCTGAGCCTTTTTGCAAGCTCCGCCGGAGTTCCTTAGGACGGCGGCCACATGCGTGTGTTCAGCACGGTGGCTCCGCCTCAGAGCGAGGGCATGGCGGCTGCGGAGGCGGAAGAGCTCGAAACCCGGCCGGGGGGACCTTGACCCATGGCACGTGAATGAGCGCAGCGCCCGGGGCAGAAACCAGGACGTGGTCCTCTGGCTGCTCCTCCACAGGTTCTCCCTAAGCCTTGTTTCTCCTTCAGATCTCATATGCAATTGAGAGTGAGGGACACAGGGTTGTAGGTAATGCTATGCCGTTTATAAGTAACAGACTTTTTGTGCCTTCTCCTTACTGCACTACTTTTCAGGTTTAGCCTTAGTTTTTATTCTTGTAAAAAGTTATTATTGTAAGGCAGACATAGGACAAAAAAACTTTGCTTCCTTAAGTTTAGCCTTGTGCTGTGCCCTAGTAGGTTTTCTCAATTGACATTGGTGGTAAATTAGTATTGATGCTTTCCAGCATATCCTTATGCATATTTATTCAAATATGTCCCCTCAGGTGCAGTAAAACTTCTAGGTAAAGGTGTATAGGATTGCAACTTTTATGTCTTGTCTTATTTATCTATAACCTGCCCTTTCTTTATGGAGGAGTAAAGTGATTTTACCACATTTCATATATTAAGTACTCAATATTGACAATGAAGAAATGGAAATAGTAAAAGATTTTGTTTTCCTTGGATGGATCCAAAAGGTGAGCGTAGTCAAGAAATCAGAAAGGGAGCAAGGAATTAGGAAAGAGCATCAAGTGGAAGGATGTGTCACTGGAAACCCAGATCATCCACACTCTTGTATTCCCAATCACCATGTATGGGTGTGAAAGCTGGACAGTAAAGAAAGCTGACAAGGGAAAAAAGGATTCATTTGAAATGTCGTGTTGGAGAAAGAGTTCTTGCAAATACACTGGACTGACAGAAGGACAAGCAAGTCTTCCCCTTTCCCTCAAACTCCCTATGAATGGGAAATCTCCAAAATGTGCTGTCCTCAACAACCTTGCTCAACTCTTGCAGGCTCAAGCCTGTGGCTTCCTTTTAGGAGTCATTCCATCTAGTATTTGGTCTTCTTCTTTTTCTGCTGTCTCCAACCTGGAGAGCTTAATATGCAAGGACATGATCTAGGACATGAAGAGGGTAATACCCATTAAAGTGTGAGTAAGCTTTATTTAATCTTACTACCCTGTTTCCCCAAAAATAAGACCTAACCTGAAAATAGGCCCTAGTATGATTTTTCAGGATGCTCGTAATATAAGCCCTACCCCAAAAATAATCCCCAGTTAAGTGAAACCTTGCCACCTTTATGCAGCAACCAGAAGAAGATGACATGACTGTATTTGAATAAATGTAGATTGTTGTACATGAAAAAAAATAAAACAATAAGTCCTAATGTGTTTTTGGAGCAAAAATTAATATAAGACCCTGTGTTATTTTCGGGAAAACACAGTAGTAAAATGTTGAAATATAGCCAATTGGACTTTTTTTTTCTTTTATTGAATCTTTACAGGAAGGCCCTCAAAGAAAAAAGAGAAAATCTGAACCTGTGGGAGCAAGTGGACAGTTAGATCTTTTGGCTATTGGTACTGCAGATGGCAGCATTTTATTATACAGCACAATAAAAGGAGAATTACAAAACAAACTAGTAAGTATTACATGTTCTATTGCTATTTTACTACTGCTAAAATAATGTAGTTTTTCTTAATAGTCCTTTTTCAACCATCTTGATTAGACTCTCTATAGAAAGGATGAAGTTTTGGGATAGTTAAAACTTAATTTTTTAGGAACAAATAATACCATAGAAACCTTGGGTTCTTCTGTTTCTATTAGAAAGTAACATAATGTAGTTATGAAAACAAATGTACTTGTTTTTAAACAAACAAATGTTAATTCAAAAACATATTGCTCAACAAATGTAGCTCATTGTTCAGTATAAAAATAAAATACTCAAAGAGAAATGCCTTTGTTACGGCCAGCTAAAACACTACAAGAATATGGGTATTTTGAGTTTTCTAGAACTATTAATTGAGCTAGGTTGTATAAATATTAAAGGATGGAGAAATTAGCAAGGACAAACAGAAATTTGACCAGATATTGTAACATAATTTCGGAATTAAATTTAATCCAGAGAAAGAAATTTAAACCGAATGAGCCACTGATAGATGTAAATGTTTTGGATTACATGTAGCAACCCTACTAGGTTGAGAAACCAGTGGAGATACACTGGAAGGTATGCAGAACTCTTGTATGGCCAGCAGTTTGCTTTTCCAGTTCATTTTAGTTTTTCTCCTTGTTCAGTTATATTTGCTTTTTAAGGAGAAAAAGACAGAGAGGGGTGATAAGTGGGTAAAGGCAAACTGCTCGTCTTTGGTCACCTTTTGTTTTTTACGTCTCTGCCCAAGGAGAGAATTCTGTAATAAAACGCTTGTACCTTCTGCCATATCTAGCTAAGAAAAGTCTAAGGTTGCTTCTACTTTTTTTTTTGTTTGTTTGTGTTTGTGAAATAGAGTTACAGGAAATGGATTATTAGGGCAAATCATATATTGTACATAACAATATATTCTTGTAAAGCATCTTGTCCTTGGAATGTTGATATAGATTGGCTCAGTCCTACTGAGAGTCTAATACTGTTTGCTAATCCACACCTTCTTTTTTCATTTAGAGTGGCCATGACAGTAAAATCAACTGTGTACGGTGGAACCAGTTCAATGGTTGCTTATATAGCTGTTCAGATGACAAACAAATTGTAGAATGGAACACACAGACATGCAGAGTGAAATGGTGAGCCTCACTTTGTATTTTAAAGTGGCATTTCTTTTTCCTTGTTTTCTTCTGTTGTCATGTTGATTTAAATTGGGAGGCTATCTACAAACAAAATAAACTTCTTAAAAGGTTATGTACTAAGGGACAGGAAGCAACAGTCAGAACTGGATATGGAACAACTGATTGGTTCAAAATTGGGAAAGGAGTACAAGGCTGTATATTGTCTCCCTGCTTATTTAACTTATATGCAGAATACATCGTGCAAAAGGTTGGACTGAATGAATGAAGATTGCCAGAAGAAATATCAACAACCTCCGATATGCAGATGATACCGCTCTGATGGCAGAAAGTGAGGAGGAATTAAAGAACCTCTTAATGAGGGTGAAAAAGGAGAGCGCAAATAATGGTCTGAAGCTCAACATCAAAAAAGCTAAGATCATGGCCACTGGTCCCATCACCTCCTGGGAAATAGAAGGGGAAGATATGGACAGATTTTACTTTCTTGGGCTCCATGATCACTGCAGATGGAGACAGCAGCCTCAAAATTAAAGGACACTTGCTTCTTGGGAGGAAAGTGATGACAAACCTCGACTGTATCTTAAAAAAGCAGAGACATCACCTTGCCGACAAAGGTCCACATAGTCAAAGCTATGTTTTTTCCAGTAGCGATGCACGGAAGTGAGAGCTGGACCGTAAAGAAGGCTGACCACCCTCCCCCCGAAGAATTGATGCTTTTGAATTATGGTGCTGGAGGAGACTTTTGAGAGTCCCCTGGACTGCAAACCTATCCATTTTGAAGGAAATCAACCCTGAGTGCTCACTGGAAGGACAGATCCTGAAGCTGAGGCTCCAATACTTCGGCCATCTCATGAGAAGAGAAGACTCCTTGGAAAAGACCTTGATGTAGGGAAAGTGTGAAGGCAAGAGGAGAAGGGGACGACAGAGGACGAGACGGTTGGACAGTGCCACCGTAGCTACCAACATAAATTTGACCCAAGTCCAGGAGGCAGTGGAAGACAGGAGGCCCTGGCGTGCTCTGGTCCATGGGTCACGAAGAGTCGGACACGACTTAACAACTAAACAATAACTAAGGGTTTCTAGATGAAGAAAAATAGGTTGATTACCTTTGTGCAGTTGTGATTTTCAATCCACCTGGAAGGCTTAGGGTAGCAGTGGCAAATTTTGTATGTGAATGGCCATATTCCCATAGGAAAATCTCTGAGGCCACAGTTGATGGTGGATGTACTGAAGCCAAAGTGGGTGAGATAGAACTGGCAGTGGCCTACCTACTTTCTGCCCACCTCTTGTTTCTTTCACTGCATAGCAGTTAGATTTTTTTAAAAAAAGAACCATTTTTGTAGATGGACCCATGCTTTCCTAACCTTGACTGCTGCTTGGAATGAGGGTGGGACCTAGAAGTCAAGGTCAGGTTTGATTTGTGAGCTGCACCTGTTTACTGAGCAGTGGCTTCCCACCTATGACTTAGAGCCTTCAAGCTAATGTGATCAACTTACATTTTTGTTGGTTGCAGTAGACTATGAAGTGTGAGGTATGTGTCTGCTCCACAACTTGAAGCTTCTAGTGATTGGTGGAGCTGCATACCTTGTGAGCTGTTTCAGCTTACTTAGGAACTATGTTTTCAACTGCTGGGTCACCTATTAAAAATGAACCTAGGGATTACTATGCTAAATGAACTTGTTTTATTCCTAAATTGTTAAGTATGATTGCGAAATACTTGTTAAGAAAAATGCACTGCTATGATGATATCCATGTGGTTTCTCACTTCTGATAAGTAGTGAGGACAATTTTCTCTTGGCTGTCTGAGCAGATGTTGCTGAAAAATTGTATCTGCCAAATAGGAATTGGTGGGGTTTTTTTGGTAATATAATCTTTGATTTAGAATGATATGAAAATTAAACATAACACTTTGTCATTACCTTAAATGTAAAGGTGGTAGGATAGAATAGTTGAGAAGCAGACTAAGCAAAAGACTGATTTTAAATTATTCAAAAGTAATTTGTGTGGTTTTATAAAAAAGAACTTCTGTGCTGCTTTTTGATTCCTAAACGAGAACACAGTTGTCTGCAAAGCATATGTCACCAAATAACAACAATTAAAACTAAAGTGAAAGGCCAGAACTCAGTGGACCTTCCTGCTAGCTAGATGGTACAGAATTGGAGCCTCCTAAATTTTGCATGGGCCTACAGTGAGTAAATTATATGTTGGTTTTGGATTTTAAATTAGGTAGTTATACTTAATGTGTAAACTGGGAAGGGTAGCTAAATGAAGATGCATCCCAGTATTCCTTGAGTTTTGTTTCCCCATTCAGAGTTTGTAATATATTTTTTTTTAAAAAAACTATTTTTCCTTTTTCAACTACATAGTCAGAACTCTACAAAGCCGCTTCCTACACTGGAATGAGGTGCCTAAGTCATCACTTTGCTTTATAATGTGCTTACGATCAAATGTTTTGATAATAAGAGCTCTATATTAGATTTCATTCTCCTTTCTTGTCAAGGTAGTATAAATAGGTGATAATAATGCTTATTTTCCTTGTTCTTATTTTTTTCAGCAAATGGAAAGGTGATAACAGCAGTGTGAGTTCCCTGTGCATCAGTCCTGATGGAAAGATGCTGCTTTCAGCTGGTCGATCAATCAAATTGTGGGACTTGGAGACCAAAGAAGTCTATAGAGTATGTAGTCATTTAAAGGGGCAAGGGGAAATATAAGAAAGAAGACCACTTTTGAATCTAAAATTCTATCTTGTTTAATATCATTTAAGTGACCAGAGGCTTCTTGAGAGGTTGCTGTGATGATACCCTAAAATGTGGTTTCAACTGACTGACATTTGAATGAGGACATGGATGTTCCTTGGCTGTGTCTGAGCACTGCTAGTAGCCTCTGCTCACTAAATTTGTCCTGAGTTAGAAAAAGCACACAGGACAGTGTGTGTGCTTCTTTGGAAATAGAATCTATTAAATGGGAGAAGTTAATGTGTATTTGTAATTCTGAATCATTGAAATATTTGTATGAGTACTCACTGAATTTGATCTATTCTCTACTGTGATATGGCTTGCTTTCATACTCACTTGCATATGTAACATTAGTCACATTTGATCCTCTAAGGGCAATTTGTACCATCCCTACATCTCTAAAAACTGTTTAACATTTTTTAAAGGGAACACATTCTTTTTCAATGCTCACAGTGTCCCATTGTATATTTTAGGAAGCAATTTTGGCATGTTTTAAGAATCTCTTATACTTATTAAAAATTTTAACATATATTTTTGGCCAGTAGATGTTTAACAATATTTTAGTGTTAAATCCATTTTTTGTTAACAAAAATCCAGTGTAGTGGGTTTTTTAATATGCAGACTCTGCCTTTTTATCACATCTTTCCTTCCTCTCCTGCCCCTTGTGAGTTCAGCTCTTGGGATTTGCTTCAAAATCAAAATTAATTCCTTAGTAAGAAAATGTCATTTGTTTTATTAAAAGACATTTATATAAAAGTATGATATTTTAGCTTATTCTTCATTGCAGGTTAAGCATTAAGTTTCTGTGTAGGTTTTCATGACCAATCTCAAATGAAGTTTCTTCTTTAGCATTTCACAGGACATGCTACAGCAGTTTCAATGCTTATCTTCATCACATTACGGCCTGCCAGTGAAAATCAACCCTTTGATGGAATTACAGGGCTCTATTTCTTATCTGGAGCAGTACATGACCGATTACTCAGTGTCTGGTATGTGTTTTTTTCCAACTACCATCATCAATTTTGCGTGTTGATTTGTATCAAGAAATATAAACAACATGATAAAAATCCCACTTGGTTTGGGACTGTTGCAGTAAACAGTTATAATGTAAAATAAGCCTTCCAACTTGGCAGTTCCAGTGAGTATCCGGTGCTCACCTGAATGTACAGCTTATAATATATTGTGATGATGTTATATTTTCATTCTTTGTTGTGGATATGTGTTTACCATTTTTGTGAAGGTATTTTTCTTTAGGAAATCATTTTTCAGTAAAAAAAGGCACTTGCCCTTAGAATTCTTGTTCTTAGAATACTTTTTCATAATATGTTTTTCTGTCTCAAGGCAAGTGAGATCTGACAGGAAAGAGAAGAATGCTGTGATGAATTTTACAGTTACAAATGAACCTATCCATATTGACCTCACAATATCAGAAACTAAAGAAGAGGTAAGGAATATAGCTTACATTCTAAGTAGTTATTTTCTGCTCAAGACTGTGGAAACTATTTTGGCATAGATCTGCTCTGTTTATCTAACTAAGAGGTTAAGTTAAAATTAGCATAAATTAATTTAAAAGCAAATCTGAGTTTCATAAAAGCCGATACCTTAATCTCTTAAAGAGTTAGGCTTTCCTCTCAAACCTGACCAGTTAAAGTCTTATGCTTTATGTAAATATAAAGCACAAGTTAAAAGAAATACTGGAGATGTCATGTATTAGTTGGTACATGTTCTTGTGATCTTCCTTCTAACTTCACTTGGGAAATTAGCATATGATCAAACTTGTTAGTGCTTAGAAGAGGCTTTCCTCTTTATATCTGGAAAGGGACTTGGATCCATTATATTGTTTTTTGAGAGCCGCCTTCAGCCATATCAGCCTGCTTGCTTCCTTCATGGTGGACTCATCTGAATGTGTCCCAGCTGTAGTGGAGGCATGATTGATTGGAACAAATGCATACACAGATTACTAGGGACTTTTTTGTTCTGGCAAGCTTTTAACATTCTGGGAATTGAGTATTTATTGTTTTCTATTGCTTTTATATTCTACTTACTTTTATTATGATATTGTGCTAAATTGTTGTAAGCCATCATGATTCATGTACAATGGTGCCTCGCAAGACGGGCGCCCTGTTTAACATTATGACGAACTTTTTCCGATCGCAAAAGCGATCGCTTTACGATGGTTTCAATGGGGGAATTTTGCTTTGCAAAGATCGGTTCCCTGCTTTGGGAACCGATTCTCGCAAAACGACGGTTTTAAAACAGCTGATTCAAAATGGCCACCGGGTTAAAAAAAAGGCTCCCCGCTCTTTTCTGGGACGGATTCCTCGCTGCACGGGCAGCGAAAATGGGGCCCTGTGGAGGATCTTTGCTGGACGGTGAGTTTCAAGCCCCTAGGAACACATTAATCAGGTTTTAATGCGTTTCTATGGGCTTTTTAATTTCGCATTACGATGTTTTCATTCTACAGCAATTTCGCTGGAACGAATTAACGTCGTAATGCGAGGCACCACTGTATGTGTATGAGGAAAGAAGGATGTGAATTTTCAGATAAAATCTATCGGGTACCTATGGTTCTTCACCTGATTACACACTGCAGTTTTTAGTACATGACTATGTGCAACCCCCTAAACAGGCAGTATGGACATGTACTTTGCATTTCATAGGAAAACACTGTTTTGTCCACCGACTACCAGCCCTTGGCATTGAAAAGTTCTACACAGTTTTTATAGCCTCCTGTGGCTGTTTACACTAAGGTGAGTCCCATTTTGTTCAGTGGGACTTGTGTAGGAAGCAGCTGTGTTTAATATTAAATGGTGACCACAACTGGTCTTAGTATGCTCACACTTGTACAGAGGGAGTTACAGACAGGAATATGCCTGCTGTCTCTTAAGCAATTAAAAAGAACTGTGGGCATGGTAAAGTTTCCATTCAACTACGATTATATTTGCAATTCTTACAGCCCTTGGTCACTATGTGTGGCTGTTTCAGAAGTACTAATTTTAGAATGGGAAGCTCAATATAAAATGGTTTCACCTTCTTTTTCATTTTAAATAATGCATCTGTTTTTCAAATTTGGCTACTCTAATTCTTAAAGTCTGTGCTGATGATGTATTCATTGTTTTCAGCCGGTAAAAATAGCCGTTGTATGCAGAGATGGACAGTTGCACATATTTGAGCAAATCTTGAATGGGTAAGTTGGCATTTAAGCACCAACGCACTTTTGTTTGGATTCTGAGTTGTAGTAGTCCGGGGAGGAATAGCAAGGTAAATCTTAGCTGCAGTGTGCTCCTCTTTTAGAAATATTAGATGCTCTTACAATGAAGCCGAGTATTTTTAATATCACTGTGAATAATGTCAATCTCATTAGAGGGTCTACTCTATTGGGTTTGTACTGGATATGGGGCAGCCACTGGAAAAAAAGCTATGAAAACAGTAGTTGCTATATGATATGAGAAATGAATAAAATTCATTTGGAATCTGATTACAAAGTGATTTATAAGCAAGGGAGTCAAGTGTGCAAATATAAATGTATTTTTATCAGATGTTTTTCTTTTTAGATACTGCAAAAAGCCCTTGACATCAAAATGTACAATCCAAATAGCAACACCTGGAGAGGGTGGTGATTCCACACCAAAGCCAGTTCCTATTCTAGCAGCTGCATTTTGTTCAGATAAGGAATCGTTGCTGCTTGTGTATGGAAACTCCTTACAGCCTGTTCTTGAAAGAGTGGTATGTAAAGTCTTTTTGAAATTCAAAGTTTATCTGAAAATTTATCTAAAAATTATGATATGCAAGGTTCCCTCTAAGGTGCACACCTGCGTAACTCTGCTCCCCTCTGTGCAGAGCTCCTCTTCCTCTTTGGTATTACAGTAGCCTCGAAATACAATAGCACTTTTCAAATTCTTGAAAGGTAGTTAGGATCTATTCTTGATCATTCTAGAGTGCAGGACATGCAATAATCGACTTAAGCTACAGGAAGCCAGATTTAGGCTGAATATCAAGAAAAACATCTTAACTGTTAGAGCAGTACAACAATGGAACCAATTACCTTGCGCGGTGGTGAGCGCTCCAACGCTGGAGACATTCTCTGTCAGATCTACATGATTTTGATTCCTGCATTGTGTAGGAACTTGAACTTGAGGGCCTTATAGGCCCCTTCTAACTCAATTGCTCTATGATTCTTTGAATAGCAATCATAAATATTCAGGCCAGATTTTAGTAGTATATCCTTAAGGTGCTTATAATTTAGGAATCTTACTTAGTCGTGGCTGGTCAATGATCCAAATACTTGTTTTATTCATGAAAATATTCTACAGCTTAACTTAGATGGTCTGACTAAAATTTATTGATTTGGAAAGCCTTTGAAACATCTGTATTTTTTCCTTTCCTTGTTCTAGTCTTTGAATACTACAGAATCACATCTGTGCCTAGTAAGAGATATTCAAAAGACGCTGACACTTAAAACAGAAATGGCTGTGACAAAGGTGAGGTTTGAACTCTTTTATTTTTTAAGTGGTTCTTGTTACAGTGGAAGTGGTAGCGGGTATAAGATACATAAAGTAAAATGGCAGATGCATGGTTACATCCAAGTATGTCTTTTGACAAAGCTGTGTATTTTTGTTTACAGAGGTGAGTGGACCTAAACTGCATTTAGTTATTAGGACATTAGCTTATACTGTTGAGTTTGTTCCAATGAAGCAGCTGTCTTAGTCTCTGTGGCAAACATAACAACCCCCAAATTACCCTGGCACCTTAAACACTAATAGATTGTTGATTATGTACAAGAAAGTTGATTGTAATCTGTGAAAGTGCCGATTTTTTTAATCTTTAAAAATTATTGTTACTAATGCTGCACATGCTTCATCTCTGCCATGTATATATTTAAATACCATTCTTGGAGTCCAGACACATGAACATAAACGGGCATTTCACTAAGGATGCCCATGAGACAGTTTTATGTTTGGTTTCTTTAAATTATATTTACTTGCGTGTTAATAGGAATGAAAAAGTGTATGCTTTTCAGCCACAGGACAACCCCATAGGAAAGGAAATGCCAAGGGTCAAAGGGTGTGCTGTGATGACTGCTGTCTTGGTTTCGCTTGTCTCTGAATTCCAGTGATGACATATACTCTTGGCTGTCTGAGCATGCCTGGGAGTGGAGAGAATTCATACATTTCATATGGGCATGTCTCTTTATTCTAGGAGTCCGTTTAATTAGGATCCAAACAAAGCCCACCAAAAGGCTAGACTCATTGTAAGTAGGATAGTTTTTTCCGAGCATCCAATGAGCAGTGCTGCTTAATGCAGTTTTGTACATACTTCAAAGTAAACCTTGTTGAAATCAGAAATCAACTTACTTGTGAGTTGACATGTAGAAGATTGCTCATGAGTTTGATCCTAAGTCATATATCTTGTACTCTATTGTTATTTAACTTGTGCACAATTTAAGAGCAGTGCCACTGGTTCAATTTATGTTCTTGAAAGAAAATGCAGAGTTTGAAGGAGGGGGAGAGCTGGCTTCAGTATGCAGAACCTTGGATGCATTATCTGGAACATTGTCAACTCTGTTGGTTTCTCTGCTGTTTTCACCTGAGTTCACTTAAGAATTTGTTTTTTAATCCCACTTTATTCAGTAAGGAAATCAATGTTAAAATAGTTAGATCATCTCAAAATAGTGCACATGCTTTTATATAAAACAGTTATGAGAGAAATGTTCGCATTCATTATGATGTGAAAATACTTATTAAAAAGAACAGCTGCTGATTTTTAGTAATCCACGAGTTTGGGGGAGATTTTTTTAGCAAGTGTAAATATTTTCATACATTAATTTTTGCTTTTGTATTGATTAGTTTTTGTATTTAAAAATTATAGGTTACACTTTAGAAAATTATCACCCCATCCATATTTTAGTCACCCTTTCCTGTCGTTGTTCGGTGTACAGACAGTTATTTGAATTGTACAGGATTATTGATTCATTCTTGAGGGAGGTTTCGCAGCATTTCCCTAAACTGAAGCTTTAAATTGTGTATCTTCGAGGCTAAAAGAGACAACAAGCAGTGGAGATGACAGATTGTTGACTCAGTGTGAAGGTTTCAGTAAAGATAGAAGAAGAGAAAATACAGGAAAGTTATGAGATTTCCTCTGTCTTTGGGAAAAGAGAGAGAGAGAGAGAGGCCTAGAACCACATTCAGATGCATTCTCAGTTGCTTTCATACCTGCATTGTTCATGTTAATTATTTAGAAGGGTTTAAGAAGCACCATGCTGGATCATGTGCCTATTAAGGCCAGTGTTCTGTACACAAGGCGGCCAACCAGATATCTATGGCACACCCACAAGGGCGACAGTACCCTCTGGCTAGTGTTCCACAGTAAATCATGCTTCCTGTGACACTAAGGAAATACATGTATACATGTGTCAGATCTACATGATTTTGATTCCTGCATTGTAGTCAATGACCAGAAGAAAGAGGAGAAGACAAATGGTCTTTAAATATGTACAATTAAATAATGAATTAGTCTGCCTAGCTTTTATCTCTTACCTTCTTGTTACAAATTTCTTATTTTATAATCCTTATTTTACAGAATCTTTATTAGAATTCTTTTTAGAAAGGATAAGTGTGCCTACTTAGTCATAATATGTTATACGGCATACTTCTGTGATACAAGTTTTGTTTAATTACTGAAAAAGCAAAGAACTAGTACCAGATGCCATTTGATAGGTCTCGGCTATTGCCTTTTAATAAGTCATATTGTATATCCAATAGGTTTTTTCTGTGGATGATTATAATACTTATTTTTCAACCCTTATAAGAGTTTTCAACACATAAACCAGTTTTAGAAAGTTGAGCACAATGGAATAATAGATTGCAAATGTTAAGTGTTAGATTCCTGGTGTATTTCTTTGCTGAGTAGCTTGTTTTGTTTCGCTTCTTTCTTATAGCCATTGCTCTTATACTTGGAGGTTGAGGAAGGAATCCTGCAGCTCTCTCCAGACCAACACTGGAGATTCCAGTGGGGTCCTTTCCCCAGCCAGTTGTGTTGCCTCTTGGAAATGTGAATGGAGTGAGAGATCACTACCCTTCTTCTCCTTGTCTCTCTATAAACAGAGAATGTAAAAGCCCAGGGAAGGGGTGGGGCTAAGTCATATCAGAGGAGGAGATGAGGGAGAGAAGGTATTTTATGAACAGAGATCTGCCCTGCTGGTGATGTCACCCCAGGTATTTGTAGCAGGTATAGCTACAACAGCAGGATTTCAGTAGTTGCTTAGAGATCGATTCATGATTGGTTTTCTGTAAAACTTACTTTGTGTATTTGTGACAAATCTCAGTCCAGCAGAGTGCTAACAACATTTCCTATACAGTTATTTAAATACAATTTATAGAAACGTGTTATCAGGTGTATCATTTGTACAACAAGAGTTTATATGTTAGTAAGCTCATTCCTGTGTAGATTTTGAGTTTGGACAAGGTTAACATTGTTACAAAATACAAAAGGCTTCGGATCCATGTAGATTATCTTTTCCTCTCTCTCTCTTTGTTTTTAATTAGGTGAAAACGCCTCTAATCAACTCAGAAGTTAAAACATTAGTTCCTGGGATTCCTGGTCATAGTGCAGCTGTCAGACCTTTATCTTGCAGAGAAAAAAATGAAACTAAAAGGAAGGCAGGTAGCAAAGAGGTAAATGACTGTCCACTTAATCCAGGTGAAATGTAAGATTTTTCAGCCACTCATTTGTTGCGATTCACATTGTGGAGATGTTCTTCATAGCTAAAACCAGTTCTTTTCAATTTATGTATTGGAATTTTTAGTAGGAAAGTGAGTGGTTTCAGTCAAGCTTTTCTGAAAGATATCTTGACCCCCACAGCAACAAAGGATTGTTGAGTGAATTGCAAGACATGTTTCTAGTCCCACATGGAGTAACAGTGAAATGTAGTATGCATGAGCAAACTATGTATTCAAGGACATTTCCAAAATCTTTTGTGGCAAATGACTCCATATGGACAACTTTGTATAGTTCCATGTCTCTTGAAAGTGTGAAATGGTAGTGTTGGTGTCCAGTTGTGGACTGCATCTCCTTTGAAAAATAGCATAGTAAAATTAGATGCAGTAGGGTTGCAAAGTCTTCAAGAAATAAGTCTCTTGACCTGTGGACTGTTGATTGTACTCAGCTCGTGCAGTATTTTTAATGGAAGGAAATACCTTATCAGGTTCTTGGGTAGAACCAGGCATGGATGAAACATTGTCCAGGAAACAGTGCTACTTGTGAAAATAGATCCCTTGCCTTACAAAATGCCACTTGACAGAGTCAGCACAATTTAGGAGGTTGTGCTGGAGACTGCAGGAAATGGAGTCAATTGAAAATGATTTAAATTTTAAAAATTTGTATTTATGACGACTGAAATAAATCATTTTTTATTTAAATTGTGATTGAAATCAGTGTGATTCTTAAAATAACATTGATATTTATCCACCTTGCAAAAAGGTTTAATTATGGGGATATTATTCCATAGGTAGTGCTTCTTGTTTTTAAAGCAATAACCTCCTTAATCACATAGGAGAGCATTGAAGATCGTCTTGGTGCAATGGATATAGATGTGATGAAAGCGAAACAGTCATCAGGAGGCCTTCCGCAGACTGACAATTTTGCAGTGCTTCTAGTTCAAGGATTGGAAAGCAGTGATCCTGAGATTCTAAATGTAAGTATTAAGAATAAGACGGGAAGCCTTTCTGTTGTACAAAGTGATCAAAATTATATTTTGGTCAGAATCCTGTTAGTTATTTCTATTAGGACAATGGTGTAAAAAAATATCCCCCCCGGCGTCTTTCAGTTTCATAAAAGAGGCTAAAAGGTAACCTGCCAATAGGATGGGTTGAGATCTAAAACTGGAATGTAGTGTTTTAAAACCAGTTATAGTAAGTGCCACTTTTTGAAAATAACTTTTATTTAGAAGAAAACAGTATTCACTGCTGGTCATGAAATTGCCCACTGCCTTACATGTTGAAATACAGCCTGTCTTTCTATTGAAGATTTTAAAAGTGGTGTTAGAAATATTACAAAATAGATAATGTATGACTGTACTTAACCTTGAGTACTTGTAGGTACAGATAAAACTGGATGTTTGTTTTCTGCTTCATGTAGAAATACTGGTTTGCCCAGTATGTGGCCCACAGTCCTAACTGAACTGTAGTCCTTGTTTTCAGATAAGTGCTCTTGCATGTGAACACAAACAATCCTCGATCCACTTTACTGATGCCTGCCTTCTGTTTCAAGGAGATATGGTTGTGTAGTGTAGAAAGCGTGTGGACTGCATCACCCGGGTTTCTGTGTTATGCTTCTAGGTAGTGTTTATTTATTTAATCATGAACCTATGTAACTAATGGGTGATTGCTACTTTAAGCTCATATAAGTATGGACAAAACCAGTAAAGATAGGGGAAGAGATTTCATTTTTAATTAAACTTTACACAGGGTATATTCCAAATTTGTGTCCCTTCCACTCTTCCACATATCGTTCCTACAGCCTTTAAGTAATACAGAAGCTTCATGTCAGGCAAGACAATATATTTCACTTTTGCTTGCTAGGTGCATAGAACAGACATGCAGTGGCACTATGTGAATCATTCAGATGAGGACAGATTTTTTTTATACAAAGAACAGTTTAGCTAATATAGTAAAAAAAGTGGAGTAGTTAAGATGATAATTAACAGCAAATAATGATTTGAACATAATAGTTGATCAGATCTTAACAAGGAGATAGGAGGGTATAGTGGTTGCCAGGAAGGTATCTTGGGCACAAGAGTTCTTGGACACAATTCATAGACACATAGGCATCCTTCAGTCTCGAGAGACTATGGTAACATGCTCTGAATCAAGGAGTGTCCTCTCCAGAGCATGAAGCCCAGGTAAGGTAATATGGAGGATAGGCTGTTACCCAAGCAGCAGATCCCCCCTCTCCACATTGCTGAAATGGTCCAATGGAAAGGCAAGAGCCAATACAACTGGTTCCAGCAATGTCGCAGGAGTTGGCAGAACGACACATGCTGCCTTCGGGACTCCAGCTCAGGATTTTGCCTCGAGGTTAACTCCTGAAGCCTTTTCCATGAGTGGATATAGCCACAAGGCAGTGGAGGTTTGA